GACCCTCACCGCTCCTCGGCTCCGCCACGGAGGACGCTCGGCTGGGACCGGGTCCTTCCCGCCTGCGTTCCCCATGCAGCCCCTCTCGCCGCAGGCCCCGGCAGCTCCGCGGGGCCACCGGGCCCTGGGATCTTCTTCCCTCTGGGGTCTCGGGGGAAGCTGGGGGTGGGGCCTCTCTGGGACGCCTTCCAGGCCGAGGGGGCGAAAGGCGGCTCAGGAGGCCGAGCTCGGCGACTCTTTGTTTCTGCTCCGGGCAGTGCGCAGGGGCTTGGCCCTGGAGGGGCGGGACAGCCAATGAGGCGGGGCCCGGGCTCTGAACCCAAAGTTTTTCCTCTCCAGAAAGCCGGCTGGGCGTCCCCCGTGGTCACAGAGGACCCTAAAGGACTGGGGAAAGCCCTGCCCTGGGCGGGGAGGAGTTGCCCTGGCCCTGCCGGAGAAGGGCGGCGGGCCTGGGCTTCACCTGTGTCCCGGCAGTCGTTCCGGGGAAACTCCGGTCCCAGAAGTGAAGCGCCCAAATCTCCAGGAGAAGACTGGACCGAAAAAGAGCTAGCCGTACTCCTGGCTGTCGGCACGAGGCCATCAACAACAACAGTAATAATAACACCGTCATCGCCAGCCTTAGCAGCTTGAGCGGAGAGCGCGGGCGCACCACGCTTGATTAAATCACATAATTAGGAGCCACTTTGATGTATGTTATTACATTTCAGGCGATTTCGAGAATGGTCTTTTATTTTCGACGGGCAGGCAGCATAAATATTACGAAGCATCTGAGATTATTAATAAAAACATGAATGGTCTACTTGGGGTTCGCTCCGCCACGTGAGCCGGGCCTGCCAGCCCCCCGGGATCCCGCTTGTGGCTACGCCTTCCCACCACCCACACCCACACCTCCTCACTACTTCGGGGCCTAGAGAGAGCCTAGCCCTCCACTGGGATGGGAGGGGGTGCGCGGTAAGGGGTCCTCGCCCGGAGGCCCTGGCGCCTGGCTACCGTGTGTGTGTGTGTGTGTGTGTTTACACGCGCGCGCGGAGGGGCATCCGAATGGGGAGGGATCAGTCTTCCTCCCCCGGCGAATCTGCGCTTTTGGAATTGCGCCTCGGCCTTTTGTCGTTGGTCACTGTTAACTTCCCAGCGCCTGGCAAGCTGCAGTCTTCGGCGGAGCCGGGACCCTCCCGCCACGCTTGGGGAGCTGCCGAGGCGAGTAGAGACCGCCGAGGTCGGATATTAAACCAGCGGGAGACAGAATGACTTTTAGCAGAGCCCCAGCGAGAAAACCCGGCCTCGCAGCCCGCCTCCGCGGCGGCGAGTGTATTTGCATATATAGTGTCTGCGTGTTTGTGGTGCGCACTGCGCGCCCGGGCACACCTGTGCCAAACGGCCTAGGCGCCCCCGTCGACTTGCCCTTTTCACTCTAGGAAGAAAACGGAAACACTGGAAAACTCTTGATGATCAGGCCAGCGGTCACCGCACGCCTCCTTCCCTCCGCTCTCCGTGGAAGCGCGGGGCGGGTTCGCACTGCGCCCGTCGGGCGGGTGTTGACCCTGCGACCCTGACTCCAGCCTGGGGGACAGAGTTACTCCTCCATCGTCTGTCGGCAGAGCCGGGGCGACCGGAGAAGAAGGGCTCTGTGCACCGAGGAGCCCCGCTAGGCCCGCAGTCCCGCACCCTCGCAGGGTTCCTGCCTCATCAGGCCGTGGGTGGGGGGCGGCGGCGGGTGCTCCTGTGCCGAGATTGCCAGGGTCTCTCTCAGTCTCTGCCTGGCTACGCAGGAGTGGGGACTCAGCTCCGTCTGGGCTTGGCGGGTACACAGCCAGGCCTGGGGGCGGGGGTCGTTCAGATCGAAGGAGCAAGGACTTCCGTGGTAAACGAGCTTTCCTCTTACGCGCACTTAGGGACCCCACCTCCTGCGGGGCACAATTCGGAGGCCCAGGTGCGGGACCCCACCGCCCTTGGGTGTCTGCAGTCAGGGTCCAGATCCCAGGCACGGGTTGGGGGGGGGACTTCGGAAGGAGTGTAGTTTTCTCGAAGGCCTGCTCTGGTCTCCCCTTGCCCCTGGTGGGAGCGGGCAGGCTGGCGCAATTGTGGGTTGCCGAGAGTCAGGAGTTTAGATTATATGCTGTTGGATTTTTTAAAAAAAGGTAATAAGCATAGGAGTAAAAAAAAAAAAATCTTAGTGTTTCGAGGGTCTGAAGGGCCCATCCAGTTCAGTCCCCTAGTAGACAAAACAGGAAGAACTCTCCAAGCCACTGAAAGCCTAGTGTCCACTTGAACGCCTCTGGGAACAGGGAACTCATTACCTTACATAGTTGTAACTGCCCCTTTCCAGTGTTATGATTTGAAAACAGATTTTTAAAAAATTGTTTGATGTTGCTATATTACATCTTTTATTAAAAATTAAAAAAAGCAAGTAGCCAATTTGGCAATAGAAGTTGTGCTTTTGTTTTGTTTTAAATTTACAAACCCTCTGAACTGTTGGGGGGGTTCAGGAAATGTGTAATCTTGCCCCACAGACCATGACCCTGGGTGTCAGCTGGGATTGGAGCCTCAAGGATTCAAGCCTCTGTGGTGAGATCCCAGCTGCCTCCCTGGACCAGTCTACACATCTGGGGAGCAGCCCCCAAGTCGCTTCCTGGGTCCCTCCCAGCCCAGCGTGGCCCGGAGGCCCAGGGTTAGCCTAGGAAGCCCAATGGCCAAGCAGCCAGTGTGGAACAGAAAAGCCTAAAAGCCTTAGGCAACAGATGGGCTCTCAAGTTTCTGAATTTCTTTTACTGGGAGATTGAAACTTTTTCCCCCCCGAAGCTAAAAAAGTTTAGAAATACAGCAGTTGGCCCCGTGGGTCATAGAACAGATACTGGATAAAGCTTCTGGGGGACGGGTATGACTCTGGAGGCTGGGCCAGCAAAGCTTGTCCCTTCCCCCAATCTTACTTGAGATGTTGTACATCTTTTGTCTTGGGCAGTAAAAACAACAAAAGATAAACAAAAACACCACTTTAAGAAGGCGAGTCTCTGTCTCACAGGAGTAAAAAGTTCCTCCCTGGCAGGGGCCTGGGAGGAGGAGGGAGCATCTCTGTCCAGCGCGCATGAGCAGAGGCACCCGTGGAGAGAGACCTGTTGAACTTTGCAAGGTTTTAAACATTTAATCGACAGAATACCACCATATTATTTTTTTAACACTTGGTAAAGAAGTGCAGACTTAAATGGTTTGGGTTGTTCTGTGCTCACATTAGAGATATCCAAACCGTCATTATTTTTTAAAAATAATAATAACCCATTTCTTGCTACAAAAGTAGTTACGGACACTGCTCTGACACGGGGCACAGGCCACGTACCTGAGCATCGGGGTGGATGCCCCAGGCAGTTCCGCTGGGCTCAGAAACACACTTAGAAAAACTAGTCATTCCACTATGGACTGCTGATATTTTATAATAAAGAGATTTTTTTTATTATTTAATGTAACTTTCAAGAATTTAAACACACAAAAATGCGGGGGGCAGGGAATGTTCACAATTTTGATAACCACAGTTGTAAATAGAAACATTCATTCATTTCTCATAAGATTATAAATATTTGATACTGGAACTGTAAAATGCACGTTTTGTAAACATTAAACAAAAACAAAAAACAAAAACCAACTTCGCTTCCTGCTAAAAGGCATGTCATTTCATTGTTTCCTAAGCAGCAGATGGTTATTCACAGACTTTTAAATTACAACTTTTGTTTTTATAGTTTCCTTTTTTAAAAGGTTTACACTACTATATACAAAGTAAAACTATTATCATTATCGCAGTGAAATAAAGAGGTTTAAGGCAAAGAGAGAAGTTCACCTTCAGTCCTCAGGGAGACATTGGGGCTCCCAGCTCAGCTATGGGCACACCCCCTGGGCTGTGCTGGCCACAGATGGACATTTGGACATGTCTTTCCCCGTACACAGAAGCAGAAGACAGTGTGGAGTGATATTATAATGTGTTTGTTTATATATATATATGTACTTGGTGAGGAATATATTGAATATATTTAATTTACACTGTACCACACCTTCAAAAAAATAAAATGTATATTTTTTAAAAAATCAAGAAAAGACAAAAACTGATCAGAAATGATTATTTACACATTTTCTTCCTTCCCCTAGATCCTGAAGGATTCCGAGTTCCTTTGAAAGTCAAGAACTGAGAGTCCAGGATGGTGGACTCCTACACGCCTGGCTGTGTGTGCGTGTGTGTACATGCATATATACATTTGTATACACACGCGTGTAGCTTGGAAGGATGTTCTCTCTAGCAGAAGCGGCCACTCCAAAAAAAAGAAAAAAGAAAAGGAAAGGGAAAAAAGCGAGGGAAGAAAAGAAAATGGAAAGAGAGATGACGCCAACCCCCTCTGCGGGCGCGCTCTGCAGCGCGGACATGGTTCGGGGCCAGCCCGAGGAAGGAGGGTCGCCCCACTGCTCGGCCGGGGCCCCACGTCTCGGCCACACAGCCCCGAAGCGCTGCTGCGCGCAGAGGCGGGGCCAGGCGGGGAGAGCTGGCCCTGGTGGCTGGCGGCGGGGCTGCAGCGGGACTGGGGACAGCGACACAGACGCGGGCTGTGTAGGCACCGAGGCGGCCGGCCGGTCTTGAGGAGGAGGAGGAGGGAGAGAGAAGGCAGGGGGG